TTCTCCACGCTGCTTTCAAACTCTGAGTAAACAACGTACGCTTCACTGGGAGGCTGTCTGAAGGTGTACACATGTCTCAGATGGACTTGGTATCACATTAGGAACGATATTCAGTGATAAATCGGGCAACAATAGCTGGTTTTAAGGATTTATTCGAGCGATCACAGTTTAACACAGCTGAAGGACTTCTCCACGCTGCTTTCAAACTGTGAGTAAATAACATGTGCTTCACTTGGAGGCTGTCTGAAGGTGTACACAGGTATCAGATGGACTTGGTATCACATTAAGAACGATATTCAGAAATAAGTCTGGCAACAATAGCTGGTTTAAATGATTTATTGGAGCTCGCAATGTTTTGAACAGACATCCCCGATCAACTCGTTTTTCTTTTTGTAGTCCTCGCTGTTCGCGTCCGGATATTGCCATCGTAAGCACAACCTCACACACTGGAACTGAATGTACATCAAAGTGTTCCTATCCAGCCAAATATACCAAAAGATGTATGTAAACGACAGAAGAAGCGATCGAAATGTGTATTTCAGTCGAGGCCACGCCTCCACATCTGTCAACCAGTTGATCGGGGAACCAGTCAATCCGGAACACCGGCCACTCCTCCTCTGGCCACCCGCACACCGCCGCTGTGCCCTCAAAGATGTCCAGGTATGCCTCCGGATCATCCTCTGCCGTCAACTTCTGGAGGGCAATTGAAGGTGGTCGGGCCGGGTTGGTCGCGGGATCGGCCTCCTGAGCGGTCGGACGCTGCAGCAGCTCCCGTAGGAGAGCCCGGTCCTCGCGCTGGCTCGAGGCGATCCCGAGCAGAGCCTCGCTCTGCTGTCGCTGTAATGCTGTGGTGGTCTCCTGCATGTCAGCGAGACGTTGGAGGGCCTGCCCCAGCGGGGTTTCTCCTTCCGCCATGATGTCCCTGTTCAGGTGCCACTGTGAGCCTCTCCGCTCACACAGGGTTCAATTATGGACGGAAGAGCAGGTTCGTGTAACATATATGGCGTTTATTAGCTCCAAACAAAAGTATCCACTACTCCAACGTTGCCCGCGTGGCAACCTTCACAGGTCCTTTTGCCCCCTTCCAGGATCCCGCCTACTGCAAAACAGACCAGAACCAGGTTATGACATGCTTTTATTCCGGCACTGATTACCTGATTCCGATCAGCTGTCTGGCCTCCGGCCGAGCCACTCCCTTCACTCCAGCAGCCGGCGCCCTAACCCCACCCCGCTGCCACAAACATGTTCCATTTATCCCATCCTTCATTTTATTCCTGAGAGATCTCTAATTAGCTGCAGCATTTTCCAAGTTGCTGTCTGCAAGGAGGCGAGTAAAGCCTTGAAACAGATTAATGGACGTAGAGGAACATTAAACCTTTACAGTCTTCCAGGCAGGCGCAACCTGCATGTGGGCTGAAAACACACCAAATGTACAGTATATAGAATGCATGGGTGGTGACTCAAGCACTCACTGATTTTAGTTTCCCAGGTATTGAAAAAACACATCAGAAGCTAATCTTTTGCCTTCAACCCTCCTGTGGATACTGTCTGGCAGTGAATGAGGCGTGAACATGAAGTACCTCCATCGTCAGAACTTCATTATCCACTCTGTGCTTCTCATTACAGCCTCTTCCCCCGGGACTGCAGAAATCATTAACTGCAGAGCTATTGTATAGGATTACAATTTGCATAGTTTCAGGTGTTCCTGTTATTCAACCCTGAGTGTATCAGCAAAAAAAGCAGTGAAAAGCAAGAGACAGAGCATTTCAAATCATAATCCACAATGTATATTTACAATGCATTGAATGGAAGAGAGCTCTGGCATGCAGAAAGCATTATGCAAATACATTGAACAGAATAAAGTAAGGAAACGTACATTTTTAATTCAAGACATACAAGTTGAATGTGAATCCTAGAGAGGTAATATTCGTCATCACAATTCCACCTCCCTGCTACAAAGAATCACACGGATGATGTTGACTCTGACTGCCTGTCAAAGCTTGTTGCTTTCCACAACAAACCGGAAACAAACAACTCTCTGACAATGACAGCTGGAACAAATACTTGAGACATCCATGGAGGGCCTTAGGGAAAACTAATCATCACATTTCTGAACTTGTCATTTTTTGAAAGCTGAGTGATGACACCCCCCTGTGTGCTTTATGCATTTTCCTGTTCTCTTACTGCCTACTCTCAACAACATGCAAATGACAAGCCATAGAATTATATACATGATCAGCACTGTTCTCTTGTATTTCCATTTCTTTGTCATATTAAGTTAGTAGATTGGAAAGATGTCAGATATCTTTTTAGATCCTTTGAGATAATGGCATGGCCTGACTAAAATTCATGATGAATGCAATTTAATCTGAGATTTGTTTGACTTCTTACAAAAAGAGAAAGGGTCAGTTCAGAGATCAGATTCGAAAAGCAAAAAACAAGAGTGTCGACTTCAAAGTAACGCCTGAAACATATTTCAGAATACTGTTTAGCTGTAAAACTAAAAAGATGTTGCTGTTTTTAACTCTACTATCATAGTGAATTATTTAGCATAGCAGGCAGCTGTTCAGTGAAAAATGCCAAGGAAACAACAAGGTACACTGGTATGAGAGCTTGGTGTAGAAAAAATGTGACAACAAATATTGCAATTTTAAAAACAATGTTTGCAGTTTTCCATCATCCATATGATTGTTTCCACCAAAGCCTTTTCATTCTCCTCTTCACATGGCCATTCGTCTCAAGGGTCAGCTTGATCAAATTGGTTTGGAATAGAAATCTCGAGTGAAACCTGTCAACAGTTGATCTGATTTACCTGAGGACATATCCAGGTTTTTCTCCTTCCTGAAATGATGTTATATTGCAGAGCCTGTGGTCCTTTCTGTCTCCCCTCTCACCTAGACAGCGACCGGCTTGAAGAAAAGAGAGGCATTTAATAAGCCAGAAAATTGAAGAGGAGTCAGTGGAAACCTCTGTGGCTCTGAGATAAAACTCTTCAGTGTGTAACTCTACTTCACAGTACAGAGCAAAACAAATACACTTCAGGGCCTCAACTTTTAAAAACTCCCAAAGCAGGTGTAATTACTTCTATTAAATCATGCTTTGGACTTTGAGTAAACTACCTCAAGGGACACGAGGTTGCTGATTTACTAAATGTGTTTTGGAAGGCTGCATTTTTTATTTCGCACAAGGCTGCAACCATGTTGGATTTAAGATTATACACACACAGTAGAGCTAGGATTGCGGACAGGTTATAGGTGCTTACACACGTGTGATAAGAGGAAAACATTCACACGCCTGCCTATATGTTCCAGCAGTAGATCACAGTAAGTCGTCTCATCAGGGAACAGGGTCCATTTAAGATGCAATTCCACTTCAGTTACAAGATGTTTGATTTATTGCACGGCTTAGAGAAACAGACTTCTGTATATTGGATTTGTTTTATAGCTGTGTCATACATACAAAGTGGACAGGGATGGATATTCCTCCTCCCCTGCAATCACCATCTACCATATTTCCACTGTCCTATCTTCAACCTCAGCTGCAGTGGATAATCTAACTCCACCTTATGTGCTGTGCAATGGAAAAGGGGAAGTAAGAGAATGTATTGAATTTGATTAGTTTTCCTCTTCCTATGAGTGTTGGAAGATGGTATACAGTGCATGTGACCACACAGCTGTGAGCTATTTACATTGTATATATAATTTATTCAATATCATTTGTCAGAGTTTGATGAATTGAGGATTTTTACGATTGATAAAAACATGGAAATTCCACATGACAAGTTATTTTCTGATATTTTGAGCTCAATATATTTAATGTGTATTGGTTTCTGACAATACAAGAGATAAAATCCAATGGCCAGCATGTTAAAATACTCTAAGATGAATTCCTGCATGATAAAAACTAGGATACTGCAAACAAATACACATAGAGTAGGATATATTTTTTTACTTTTGTATCTAGGGTTTGGGCTCCTCAAGAGGGTCATTGGATTATAGAAAATAAGACATTTGTGGAATTTTCTGCAATCTTTGCTTAAAAAAAGAAATAGTGTTAACAATATTAACTATTCAACCAGTTAAAATGAGTGTAAAGTGCATCTTTTCCCTCTAAAATGTAGAAATATCAAACAGCATAAAATGGAAATACTCAAATAAAGTACATAAGTACAGAACAATATAAGTTTGTTTGACACTGTTAATGAGGTTAATTTGCACTAACGCCAGTGATATGTCTGATTTGTTTAAATCATAAACTCTGAATATAACGGTTTAAATGAAACACTGCTTCCTCCTGGTGGATGCAGGCAGTACTGCGCCTCATGTGTGCGTCAGGAAAGGTGAAGTTGCTGATGTGTAAATTGTGGTTTTCCAGATGTTTAATTGAATACTTCAGTACCTTGGCGCACAGAACGTATTCCCATCTGTACATGACCATCGGGTTAAAAGGAATGCATCTCAAAACAGACAACTGCGCAGTCTGGAGAAAATACCTTGCAATATTTATTTATTTTTTATTTATGGATGATCTCTTATGGGATTTTAATGGGGCTTATCCACTCAAATCATCGCAGTGTCAGATCATCAGTACCCAAACACATGGAATCTTAATATAATCTGTGGATTTAAATGTCTGGCAGCCTCAATCCTGCAGAAACCATTGCTGTAAACAGGAGGCGCACACTGTGTTCTGCCGTGAATGCACGGGGCGCAGAAAATTATTTTCACACTTGCAGGAAACGCATGCGCGCAGAAGAGAAACCAACCAGTTTGTATCAAGTCGAGGCTGACGGATGTGATCGAGGCAAAAAAATCTCCTGCATTCTGGCATTCATGGTGACACAGTGAGTAGACATTCAGATTCAACTTTTGGAATGATTACACCCTCGCATTTGTGCATTTTTTAATACAATAGACTGGATAAATGATGCAGTTGGGCTGGAGCATCTTTAAGTGAATATTCCAAGCATCTTTTCCCATTGGTGCGTGTTGTGGTGTGTATTTAAATAATAATAACGATGTTTAAGCATAATGTAGATCTGTTGCTCTCTGCCTGGCCAGAAAACCATCTGACTGTAAAATTATCAGCTTTTCTCATCAAATAATGTAATTATGTTTCTATAAATGGCTGCACACTGCTTGCTTTAGGGGGATTGCTTCGAATCGAACATCATGCATGAGTGTGTATGAGTGTGTGTGTGTGTGTGTGCATCCTCCCGAAGATGCGACTGATGGATGCGATTGCTGCGGTCCAAGAGTAACGCCTTGTCGCTATCATTACTGCTCATCCCTCACAGACTGGGAGCGAGGAGGACAGAGAAAGGCGGCTGTTGCTCGTGACAATTTGTTTTTTTGTTGCATTCAGCATGAACTATCAAACCGGTAGGACATCTCGAGCTTTCAACTGCGATATATGCACCTTAAACGCACCATACGCCTAATTTCTTGATCGGGAAATGTCGATTTATTGAGGATGCATTACACAGAAGTTGACCCCACTCGTCATGATCATGAAGTGTTCGTGCGTACACATGTTACCACTTTCCTTTACAGGATTATCTGGCGTTTCATTGCTTATTTAATCAGGTTTAAGACAGATCCAGGCCTCCTGTCATATCTTAATCTCTTGTGATGTCTTGGATGTTTGTGTGCGTAATGCGCCAGCTTGATGCGGTAAAAAAAGACCTCACTGTGGTCTCCATGTCTTCTTATCTTCGCAGTCCATGGGTTCGGAGCGGGTGGAGATGCGTAAGAGACAGATGCAGGTTCATCAGGAAGCAGCTGCCAGTGTCCTCCAAGCGCGCCACAGAATGGGAAACACCCCCACCAACGCCTCTAACGCCTGCTGCTTCTGCTGGTGCTGCTGCTGTAGCTGCTCCTGGTAAAGACCCTGCCTCACACTGCTGTACATGGGAGATATGTGGGGGGAAAGGCCCATTTACTGTATTTTGGGTAGCCTTTAATAATACATCTACCCCACACAAATATTAGCTGAGAGATAATTGGAGACAGTATATGTTGAAAAAGGCTATCTTTATAAAAAATGAGATGACCCTTTTTTTAAATGATGCAGTTGCTGTCTAATATTCTTGAACAATTCTAAGTCCTGTTTCAAACGGGGGAATACAATTTAAAACAATCTAAAGAATAGCCCAAAATATAATTATATTCATCAATATGGACTACAGGGAATTAGGCAACAATTTGATAATTGATTAATTAAACATTGGCTATAATTGCTGCTTTTTATATTTTAAACTGTATTAATGTTAATACATATCTTTGAGTTTTGGACTTGGTGGTTGTACAAAACAAGTCTTTTTTTGTAACGATAAACAGCCATTTCTAGACATAATGATCAATCAATGAATTGTAAGAAAAGTAATTTATTGTAGCATAGTTTTAAAAATATGATACACGGCTTAGGCTAACTGGTATAATAATTGGACATTCATCGATATGTAGGTTTTGAAGTCTTAATCATTGAAGACTAAGGTAATTTTTCATCATATCAGTATCCCTTATGGCCTTTGCCAAATGATGGATCACACATCATACACAATAATATCAGCTGTACTAGGGTTTGATCCATTACAATCCTATAAAAGAATATATATTTTAACTCGAAAGATAGCTGTTTTGAATTTTTTTTTGTTCTTAGACATACATTTCCTGTCATGTCTGCCATACTTAAATGTGTTCTAATGTGTGGGCTTTAGAAGTTTTATTTATTTTGAAAATATGTTTAACTTTATATTCATGCAATCCAAAGGGTGCGTTGTTTAGAAGTATACTGCAGGAGACAAAACCTATCCAAGTAAAGTTTCCTTCATATCAAATCTTGTCACTTCAACATGTTTGCAAAACAGACTCGTAACTTGTATGTTGTTTTTTAAGTCCAGTGGAAAACCACACATGAGACCTGTGACACACTAAATGTAACTGGACACAGCATCAGCAAACTGCATCATTTTACTAAGATGTCCCTCCTGGCCTCATTAAACAGTACCAGCTCAGTAGTGGAGACGACTTCCTCTGCCTCCATCCTCCCACCCATTCAATAACACCATCCCACACCACCATTCCAGAAAAACAGGAACACAGTGGTCCTGTGACCCACGCTGGATCTCATTGGACGGAGGCCTCAGGGGGTTATAACATGTTTTGAATTGTCCAACGTACACTTGTGCTTCCTCTGAGGACAGCCAACCTGTTGTGTGCCGTGTTAAATCACTCCACTGGGGATGAGTAATGTATATCAATTCCATCTGATTGTTGCACAGCTACAAACAGGTTCCCAGAGGGGGGGGTGGGGGGTTCACAGCAGACTCTCATCTGAGCCAATTAGTGTACAGCCAGATGCTACATCAGGTGATGGGAACATTTTAATTACGCATAGGTAATCCCTACAGGACGATGTGGACAGTTTATCATTTAACTATTTACGCAAAGGCTCGCAGCAGAGCTTCCTGAATCTACTGTAGGTGTTCTTTTATTTCAAATGTCGCACAAACAAAAAATGCAGTCCCTCAAGTATGGTATACTAGGCCTGCAGTAAATATACAAAATGGAGATAGACTATTGTATTGCTAGCCAAGTTATTCTTCCTGGCAACTGCAGCGATAACTCCCATCCGACAAATAGTCCAGCCTAATACAGTGCGATAAAAAAAACAATCTTATTTTTACTTTACAGTTTTTGTATGGAGTTAACAAATACAATATTTTGTGATACCTGTCTGACGTTTAAAGTTGATAATTGGCATTTTTTTGGTATATTTGGACAAAGCCAGGTTAGCTGTAAACCCTTTTCCCAGTATTTAAAGTGGACCTATCATGCTATATTTGAATAATATATTGTAGGGCCATACCTATATAAAACATGTCTGTGAAGTTTTTTTTCCAAAATACCAAACAGATCATGCATTTTAGCCATGCCTCATTTCGCTCTATTTGCTCTTTTTTTAGCCCTGTTTTTGCAAGGGCTGATTCTGTGGCAAATGAGCTGCAGCTGACCACGCCCCCCTGCAAAGGAGGGGGGCGAGGCACGAGCGTCATGTTACCATGCTGTTACCATGCTGTTACCATGCCACAGCAACCTCTCATTCCCCTGATAGGTGGAGAGTTGCCCATATAGGCGGAGCTCCCCGTTTCTGACGTCAGAACAATTTCAAATCTGTATCAGTCTGTATCAGATCCGTTGCAGCCCCGTTTTTAGAGATTTGGGTATGGAGGAAAAGAGAGAGGGTTGTGTTTTCTGACACTTGGTGAGTTCCCTGACACACCGGGGACACATATTCATGTATAAAAGACGTACTAAAGTGCATTTTGCATGATAGGTCCCCTTTAAGCTAAGCTAAGCTAACTATCCGCTAACTGTGCCTTTATATTTGACGTACAGATATGAGAGTTGTATCAATCTTTTTATCTATCTCTTGGCGAGAAAATTATTATAGGTATTTAAAATAGCACACTTTTCCTATAGGAAGAGGAATGCAATGCTACATTTTACAATCATATTTCAGATGTGTGTCAAATGTTGCTGTAGGACAATCTGATAGTGAGATCATTTAAAAAAACATGTGTCCAGTCACATAGCTTGTACAATGAACTGCTAGAAATAGCCTACTGAGCTTTGACAGGTATGATTTCACAGAACTATATTATTTTTAGTAAGGTAGGCTGACATTAAAGGACTCAAGAGTTATTTCAATGTTGGCTGCAGTTTCAAAACTGGATGACAAGCTATTTATGGCCTTATTTTCTGTTTTGTTTTTCCAGTTTGACTGTTAGGAGTGAGGACGAGACAATACAGAGGTCCACTTTTGAGCGCAGGACAGAGGGAACCAACAATTGTGAAGAAAGGTAATGGTTAAACACTGTGAACCTTTTGTGTGAGAGACAATTAAATAACAGTGAACCAACAGATCTATTATTTTATGTTTTAGCCCGAAGCCCACTCTGGAAGACGCTCGCTCCTGGCCCATGTCGTTTGAAAAGGTGATGAAGAGTGCAGCGGGCCGCGGCTGCTTCAGGCAGTTCCTGAGGACGGAGTTCAGCGAGGAGAACATGATGTTCTGGTTCGCCTGCGAGGAGCTCAAAAAGGAGACCAACAAGACTGTGGTGGAGGAGAAAGTCCGTCAGATATACGAGGACTTCATCTCAATCCTGTCCCCTAAAGAGGTGAGTTGGTGTGGCTACAGCGATTATAGTGCTGAAATGTTTAGAAAGAGTTATTGTTTAACTTTAGTGGAACAACAGAAAGATAAATCATCAACTAATGAAAACATCTTAAATGTTCTGTTAAGATTTTGGGGGTGTTGGTCGAGGAATAAAAAGCTAATTTAAAGACATTATCTAAACTAACTGTTATTTTCTTGATTAATAACCTTGTGTTAACTTGTTTTGTCCATACAAAGTCAGACATTTAGAAAATAAATCCTCTTACTTCTCAGAACACAAGACAGTTTATTAAATCACTTATTTGTCTCATCTAAGGTTATAGTTGGACATTTTGGGAAATAGCGCTTATCTGAAAAGCTTTGTTTTTGTTGCTCTGCACATACATACATTTATTTTGCAGTATAAAGTTTATTCAGGGGATTTATCGAGCAGTGCACATATTTTATATAAAAAACACAGCTTTTTCAGTTCAAAACTAGTTTGGTATGAGTGTTCTCGGAGTCAGAAAAACCCTATTTCTGTTTCCCCTCCTTAATGTGACAACAAGCACTAAGTTGGGTATATTTCATTTGCTGTTCTGGAGGAGACAGGCTTTTCTGCCTTGTTGCTCATAAATGCTAGTGACTGATGCAATAGAAAATAGTTTCATTTGTAAGGAGCTAGGCAGAAACAGTGCGTATACAGCCTGAATTTTCTGTTAATCAACTATAAGATAAATCTGTTCAATCAATCATGTTAGCTCTAAATCGTGTAATGACATGAATCAGTGCTTCAATCTTTTACCTGCTCATCTTCTCCAGGTCAGTTTGGACTCGCGTGTTCGAGAAGTGATAAACCGCAACATGCTGGAGCCCACCTCGCACACGTTCGACGACGCGCAGCAGCAGATATACACGCTGATGCAGAGAGACTCATACCCTCGCTACATGAACTCAACTGCGTACACAGATCTGCTGAAGAGCCTGGAGGAGCCTCCCCCCGAGCCATAGACCCACCATTGACACACACTTAGCTTTTGAAAATGGCGCATGCGTCCCACCCGAAGGAGTTCTGTGTTCCTGTTGGAGTACCGCTATTTAGAGAAAGACAGACAGGAAAATGACCACTTCTTAAAACCGGTCGTCACCCAGCTGTTAAGTGCGGTTTATTTACCCATGATTAGCTTACCAAAATACTCGGAGCAAACAAGAACAAATGCTTCAGCATCAGTTAGGCTACTTGTTAGAAAACATATCTATATTTTTATATATTCCCTAGCTTGACATTGCACTTTTCTACCTTGTTTAATGAGGGAAAGCATGCATCTGTGAGCACTGCATTTGTATTTAGGTATATTGTGAGCCTTAATGCATATCCAGTTCTTATAGAAACTACTAGGTTTTATTTAACAGTAACTTATGAAGAAGGAAAGTGCCTTGGAATAAGATCTTCTACACTAGCACCTTTGGTCTAACGTGGATGGTGCGACAATGACTTCATATGTTGGTGCTTTCAGCTCTTCTCAAAGAAAAAAAGTTTATACAACTCGATGAGCTGAGAACCGGAAATAGATCTTGTCTGTGTGTTTCAATACTGTGATATTAGTCATATTATGTTTAATTTAAACAAACTGAAATACATGACCATGACCACTGATATATTTGTGTATTTTAAAAGATATTTGTGCAAAATAGATATTTTAATTCTCACAAATTAAATAAAGCACAATCGTATGTTGTTTTTTGCAGTTGTGTGTTTTCAACATATGGCACTATAAATTATTATGTGGATTGCATATAAGGCTGCCTTAAAAAAAAAAAAGTTTTCCCTGAAAATGCTTTGTTTAGATTTTTGTAACAAATTATGGGTGCAAAAACATGAACTGTCGATTATTGTTTTTACATAATTGTTTAGCCTTTAAGACAAATCCAAAAACACCAACATAGCATATTTAAAATATATTTATATTTTTAAAAAGCAAATCTGGAGGCGTTTTTATCTAGTACATTTGTTATATTTCTTTATCAACTAATAACGTGCTTCAGCACTACTACACTAAAGCTTCATTCATAAAAAAAAGAGCATTTAACAATAAGCCATTTATTGTGAGATATTAGGAATTAAACCATAAAGTATAGCCCTAGTTATTCCAGTACATGTGTTTCCTGCAGGAAATGGCTTGTCTTAATGGCATAGCTTTACAATCAAGCAACTAAAGTCACTCTAACACTGAGGGTTGTGTGTGGCACCAGGTCAGGATACAGCATTGTTTTTCGTTATCAGTCTCTCCCGGGTTAACATGGAGCCCCAGTCCGGTCCGGCTCTATGAGTAGCAGCGTGGTTTATTTTCAAGTAGAAAGTGGTTCAGGGAGTCCGAGGAGTCAAACCCGAAGGACTCTGACGGTGCTGTGCAGCTCCAAGATCATTCATCGCCGATGGCTGGAAGCTGCTTCTCTATGAATCGTTTCACATCCACCATTTCCTGCACACATACAGAATCAAATTAAATATATTCAGTATAGAACCGGAGCCTCTGAGTGAAATGTGGCTTTCCCCACACTGACCTCTGGACAGGCGCTGTGAGGTAGACCCCGATACGACTTGAAGGTGATGTTGGCTGGATTGACGAGGCTCTTCATCTTCTCTGCTGTCTGGCTGCCAAACATAAAGGGAACCACGGGGTCGGCGTCCCCGTGGCACTGAAGGACGTGCATGTCCTTGTTAGGACAACTGGCAGATGCCTGTGAACAGAAGAGATGAATAATATTGTTATCATCTTATTATGAAAGATGTTGGAATATTCCTAATACAATTAAACAGAAATTCACTATAAAATTAACTACTGGGGTATTTCACCTTTGTTTTTGAGCAATTAAAAGAAGTGGGGAACTTCAATCATTTTACATTTCTCTAATGCTGTATTTGCATCCAACGCAAAGCAAATTTGACTGTGGGATTACTAAACTAAAGGATGTCATGAATAACTTCAACATGATCCCATTTTGTAAAAAGTCTGAAAAAAATGCTGTCATCAAGACAACAAGCAAACAAAATGATTGTTTCCGGAATGCTGTTCACATTGATCAGGGATATACTGACATTATAGCTGCACCAAAAGCCGCCTTGTCTAAATTAGGCATAGATACAGCAGCAACATTATTATTTATTGTTTTGCGCTTTGTGTGAACCGACCAAAAGCTTTGTGTTTACTGAATCACTGAAAACCTCTAAATTAATCTTTGTCTACCTGAGGGAAGGACTTGCGCAGAGGGAGCCAGCAGCTGAGAGCGACCACTCCGGCTAGCTTCTGCTGAGTCGTCAAAGCCGTGTAGAGTGACAACGCTCCACCCTGGAAAGAAGAAAACAACACAGAAAATAATCTTAGTTGTGTCGCTTGTGAATTGGAATCATAGCAGGAGAGGATGGAGAACATTAATGTTCCTTTAGATTGAGTTCTAGTGCTGTGCTGTTAATCCCTCTGTGATCCATACATCTATTAAGTTTTATATGAGCCTATATTTACTGAGGTGAAAAGGGGTAAAAAAAAAAATATATATATCACCACAAGGGCCTAAATAGTTTTGTATTAAAAGTTAATAAAATATTAATAATCTGACTACTGACCCCCCTACATATTTATATATAGTATCACCCCTTTAAACATGTACATTTTAGAGAAAGTAGCACATTCTTGACATTGGGGTTACAAATATTCTATTTATTAAACTGTGCAAGTTAAAATATGCATATATTTTTCAAGACTCTGCAGCTTAAGTACGTGCAATAAATGACAAAACATAAATGCAATTATGTGAGAATATCTTCTGAATGTGTTTTATTGAATACATTATATGCATAACCAGTGAGTCATTAAGTGTTATGTAACACATCATCTGCGTACATGCCACACTTACCTGTGAAAATCCACCCAGGAGAATTCTGTGTGAAGGAATTCCATTCTTCACTTCTTGGTCTATCAAGGCTTTAACTGTGGATACATTAACAAAAACACTTGCTTCATACCGGCATCCGTTAACAAGCTCTTATGCAACTCAAACAAAATAGCAGCACATTCCTCACGACTTACTATACAATGAAATTGAAAGACTTACTGTTCTCTGATGCTCTTTTTATACCAGCCTCATCTTCATTTGCATCTGGGTTCAATCCATAGATATCAAACCTACACATGAGAGAAATCATGTGAGGCTCATTGTGTATGTGAAGATGGCACACACATGTTCAAATACTCTGACACTTACCAAGATGGCATGGACATTCTCATGTTCAAAGAAACTGGCATGGTGGGACTGTAAACAATGGAGAAAAGTAACATCACAGTTTGGCTTAACATCATTTAACATGTCAATAATTTTCTGGCAAACGATAGTAAACAAGGTGATTTTTACACCATTTATAATAGTGGATAAGACATTCAGGATTGTGCAATGTTATATATGCTGTATAAACGTACGCATGTGGACAGATGTATTTCACATGTGGTATCCTGATGCCAGCAAAACCTTCTGCCCAGCCATGTCTGTCAAATGGGACAAAATTAAACTAGTTTGACTAAAAGTATTTATGAGAGACCAGCATTGACCAGTATTGTTGCACAACAAGAGTACAAAAAAAGGATGTCTTCACATACCCTGTATCACCAAGTCCATGCAGGAATATCACCTGTAAAGAAACAGAGAAGGTAACCGTTCGAATAAGTTCAGGCATGTCAGAACGTGATGGCATTTTTAAATGTAACCAGTTGAGTAGTTATTGGAACCCACAGTTGCTTTAGGTTGAACTTCAAATAGCTTAGCGTTAGCAAATGTTCCCTGGTTAACTCACCGCCGCAGTAGCTTTCCGGGCAGCAGGCACAATGGCAGGTAAAGGAGCTGACATGCTATTGCCGCACATACAGCGCTGAGGCAGCTGATATGAAGAGACAAGTTAGCTACTGCGTAAGCTAATAACGATATCCCTTCCTGTCAATCTGTGTCGAGCTTTGTCCGATTCTGGCTGTCAAACAACAAACAGTTTAGGGGCTAATCTCGAACCCAGGATGAAAGTCAAGGTACCGCCGCCTCGTATTTCTATTGGCAGTGGTACATTTATTTCAAGAAGTTGAATTTTGTTGAAAATAATACACCGCCGAATTACACTACTCACCACCTGCACTGACATGCGTTGTAGACCCGCCCCCTCCACTTCGTGATTGGCTGTCAGCAGCAGTTCCTACAGATTTAGAGCACCGATTGGTTAGTAGAAATGTCAATCAATGCTACTTAAATAAAGGTTAATTCGCATAGAAATAACAACAAACCACAACTCGACAACTCAGAAATAAATACAGTTTGTTAAGATTACAAAAAAATACAAGCATCATATTTGAACAATATTAAATGATGATATAAACATTTAACAAGCAAACACGTCGTGACCTTTGACACAATTGTTAGGGCTTACATGTGATGTTTTATTTGTTCTGTTTACCCATTAAACTTTAAACAAGTATGTTTTCTCTACTCCTATGTTACCAATATGTAGTGACATTCACCAACCATAAAATACCGCTTAAAATGCTCTACGGCACAACTGTTTATGTAGCACATTTTGACTGTTGCCCTTTTATTTTGAAATTTGGATCTGCCACGTGAAGCCCTTCCGCTCAAGTCAGTCACATGACCTATATGTCCTTGGTTTGGCAACTAGTGACATGTGAGGAAAAGAAACATGTCTTTCCCTAAAAAACCTGGTAAAGCGTTAGATATTTTGAAAAATCTCCCGCGGATAACTTTAGCAAACTTGCGGCCTGAGCCAGGAGCTATAAAGGCGGTACGTTGTAATGTTCAATCAGTATTTAGGCAATATTTTGTAGCTGCTCTAGCTAACGTAGCTAGTTAGCCGCTTTTGGCAGTGGATATGAATGCTAATATGTCAGTTGTTTTGATAGGATGATACATTTACTAGCTAGCTAAAACCCTTGCATTTGTTTTTTAATTGTAGGATAAACGTCTGGGCAGAGGACAGCATGGTGGAAACAGAAGCGGCCGAGGACATAAAGGACAGCGACAGAGAGGCAACCGGCCTCGGCTGGGATTTGAAGGGGGTCACACTCCTTTTATCTCTCCATTCCAAAATATGGCTACAATGAAGGACACAGGTAAACGAGTTACAGTCAAGGTTTTCATAGATCATAGATTGTATGTCATTGAAATGCGTCTTCTGTAAAGAATTGTATCTGTTACACCACACATTTCTCCCACAAGGATTCATAACTAGATGTCTTTATATGGATAATCATAGTAGTGCATCTGGTGGAAATGCATATTAATACCCCCAAATCCTACACCTGTCCAGTATAAATGTGGTATAAATGTTGTTGCTGCTCAATGCTGCAATTATACAGAATGTGTTTCATGGGTTATTTGTTGTACTATTTGTTATTTGTGTCAAGATTCAGATTATCTCAAATAATTTCAACCAATAAATGTCATATTTGTGTGTCGTCCACAGTCTGCGTCCTCAGTACCAACCTCTGTCATTGAAACGACTGCAGTACCTGATTGATCTGGGCCGTGTGGACCCCTCCCAGCCCATAGACCTGACCCAGCTAGTGAACAGCAGAGGGATAACAATCCAGCCTCTGAAGAGGGACTATGGAGTCCAGCTTGTTGATGAGGTAATTTCTCATTGAGCATTGAGTTGTTTTCTCCAAGCATTAATAAAAAGACACAAAG